TAAGATAATTAATATATAATAAGAACTAGAATACTTTCTGAATATTATTAATTGCTTTTATTAGGGATAAATATAATTATATATTGATAATACTTTAATAATCTAAGGAATATAAAGAAGTGCTATTACTTCCTTTTAATGAATATATTACAAATACTATCAAACAATACAACACTATAATATTATAATCAAATAATCCCCTGAGTATATTGAGATTGAGAGCAATAAAATAGCCGATCGCCTTGCTGATCAGGGTACAACTAGGCTGCTTGACTCTGGCCTATCCTGTCTTTCTATAATTAACAGCTCTCGTTTTATCCTATATACCAAATATCAGCATTTCGAAAGTAAATAATAAAAGAAAAAAAGAAACCTGATCTTCGAAATATATAATATATGAAAATCGATATATAATATCTCGAAGCTAGAAAGCCTCAAGTTTCCTTATAAGATATTATACAAACTCATAGCGATACAAACTGGATATAGTGACTTTGCAATTTATTATATCAAATTCAATTACGAAAATAGCATAAATATCTATATATACAGGATTAAGAAAAGTCTATTATATTTCTTTTAATATTCAATCAATAATCAAATATATAGTAACTAGCCATTTACATCAAATCGACTTCGATCTGAATAGAATATAATAATATATATCAATTACATTCTGCAAATACAATATAGCTTTACTGACCTTCTCACTAGATCCAGATTCTATATTAGAATATACTCAAACTATATAAAAACTACACGAATTCCAATCTACTCTAATACTCTAAGAATAAGCTTTTCACCCCGATCAATCTAAAACCCGCACTAAACAGTTATAAGCACTCTGAGCACTCTCCCAATCGACAGCAATTGATCTGATTATCTGCTAATACTCGGATGGTATACAAAACAAGGCTCTCTAAAATAGAATTATAAACTTTTAAATAGAATAGTTGCAGGATTGCTATAAGCAATATTGAACAGAGGAATATTAAAGGTAACAAGCCCTTATTTAGCTAATATTATACTACTATAAGCAGCTGGAACACTAGCGGCCTATAAGCCCGCTCCTTAGTATATCTAGAATACTTCTTGGAAGGTCAGATATTAGATGTTAATCACTATAAATAAATAAAATAAATAAATATGGAATCACCAGATTATATTATTTATAATACAGAAAAAAAAACTTTATAAATAAAGAGTTTATTTAGAATACAAAATCTATATTAATTATTATTAAGAGCATATTAGTTAAAGTATATACCTCCCTCGCGGGGTACTACACAGACTCATAGCAATGCGGACCGGACATGGTGACTTTGCAATCTATCACATCAGATTCAATCACGAAAATAGCATGAATATCTATATATGCGGGACTAAGAAAAGCCCATTGCATTTCTTTCAATGTTCAATCAATAATCAAATGCACAGTGACTGGCCATTTATACCAAATCGATTTCGATCCAAATGGGATACGATAGTATATGTCAACCATATTCTGTGAATATAATATAGCTTTACTAACCTTTTTACTAGATCCAGATTCTATATTAGAATATACTTAAACTACACAGAACTATACAAATTCCAACCTGCTCCAATACCCCAAGGATAAGTTCTTCACCCCAATCAACCTAAAACCTATACCGAACAGCTATAAGCATTTCGAGCGCTCTCCCGATCGATAACGATTGATCTAATTATCCGCTGATATTCAAATGGCATACAAAACAAGGCCCTTTGAAACAGGACCATAAACCTTTAGACAGAATAGCCATAGGATTGCTATAAGCAATATTGAACAAGGGAATACCAAAGGCAATAAGCCCCTGTTTAGCTAACATTACACTACTATAAGCAGCTGGAACACTAACAGCCTATAGGCCCCACTCCTTAGTATATCTAGAATATCCCTTGGGAGGTTAGATATTAGACGTTAATCACTATAAATAAATAAATAAATAAATAAATAATTAGTTAAAGTATACAACTCTATAAATATAGTGGAGAGATATTATTATTCTCTATATTATATATATAAGATCTTAACTAAAAAGCTTAAAAATAATAATTTAACAAAAACAATAATCCTGCAAATGGTAGTGAAAGCTGTAAATGATATAGTTGAACCAAATAAGCTTGTTCCCATATTATTAGTTTATAGAATATATCCTAAATTGAATAATATTAATCCATTAATCCCAATAATCATTCAATATACAAAAACTATAAAGAAAGCTATAGTAGAAGTATATCATATATAAACTAAGAGATAAATTATAAAAACACTTAGACTGAGGAATAAACTATTTACAATATCAGTTCTTACTCTATTGCTTAATTTACAAGTTTTAGTATAAAGAGAAGAAAAAAATGATAATATATTAGGCAAATAGATTGGACTATACGTTTTGATTGAAACGAATAGAGAAATATGTAAAGTGGAATTCATTAATGAACCAATTAAATTTCAATCTATATTTGTATAACCTTTTTATAAAAAGTTTAAAGAAATTGAATCGAATAATAATAATGATATAAATAGTGATAATAATAATAACATTATAGTAGTTAATATATCACAAATAAAGATACTACAACCGCAAATACTATCGTCAGTGGTATAACCAGATATACAATTACATCGTTGTATGAGAAGCAATTTGATTAATATAATCAATTTGACGGATATCGATATTAAACTATTATTATTATAACTAACTATATTCTTATAAGATAATACACCTATATAATATAAGGAATCACAATGCAAGGAAATTGATAGACTAATGGAAAATGGAATCTTTAAAATCGTTTCAAAAACTAATATACTATTCGGAACATAATTATTTAAATCACGATTTATTGATGAAATAAAAGAAGAAGGTATTGATAAAGTATATATGAAATCACAACTAATAATTTAAGCATACCAAAATATAGGTAAAATTACTGTTTTGATATAATCACCAACTATTCAACATATTAGTTAGTGTATTATACTTACACTTGCTACTATTTTGCAAATATTAAACAAATATATTTAGATCTATTTATAAAATATCACACAGATATATATCTAGTCAACCACAACTTTGAGTAGATCTATTTATATAGAAGCATTAGTAGAGATTGGACTTGATGATAGATATATACTTTATATTGTTAAGCCCTTATATAGTATCCTAGAGGCAGGAAATCATTGGTTTGAAACCTACCATAACCACTATAAGGATAGGCTAAATATGATATAATCCATATACAACCCTTGTTTACTCTATTCAACTGATTGTATCGGTATTGTAGGACTTCAAACCAATGATACTCTCATAGTTGCAAACAAGAGATTTGTATGCTTAGAATAAGAGAAGTTGGAGGAGGCTGGTTTTATAACTAAAAACAGAGAGCAGCTTATCAAAAACTATTCACTCAAGTTTAATAGTAATTTGATTACTCTCAAAAGTAATAGGATTTATCTGAATCAAGAAAGACAATGCAATAATCTCAGAATAATCACACTGGGAAATATCGATATATATGAAATAAGGGGAAAAGTTCAAAAGAATATCACTTCGAAGAATTAGTATATCGCTTAACACGTAAGAGGTACATATATTGCAATTATATATCAACCAGAAGCGTTATACTATCTTTCAGTTACTACCCAAATAATAGATCCGAAGGAAGAAGATGCTATTAAGCTTAATAAAGTTATTAAATAACAAATGAACAATTCAAAAAGAGAATTAATCTTTATACCTTTCGATATGAATTCTATTGACTTAATCATCTTTATCAATATATCCTTTGTTAATAATACTAATTTATCTTTATAAATTGACTATATTATATATTTAATAGATAAATATAGCAATACTAATATTATCCACTGAACATCGATTAATACAAAAGAATTACTAGAAGTGTACTAGCTTCTGAGCTATATACATTAATTCTAGGTTTCGATATAGGTACTGCTATTAAGGGCACTATCAATGCTATTCTCAAACCTAAAAAGCGAATACCACTTATGCTTTGTACGGATTCTAAGTTATTATATAACCTATTAACTAAACTCAATACAAGCACGGAAAAACAACTCCTAATCGATATTATAACTCTACAACAATGCTACGAAAATAGGGAGATCATAGAGATTAAATGGATTGATAAAAAGTCGAATCCTGTAAACACCATGACTAAAAACAATGCATATTAAACTTTAAAAAACTTAATTGATATTAATAAAATAATCATTAAAGTAATGCATTAGATAAAAAAAGAATAGTGAAAAAGAAACTAAGGGAATAGGAGTAGAACACTATACTTAAGATTGAATAATAGGCTTAGGCTTAAAGCATATAATCCATTCAATTTAAGAATTGCCAGTATCGGGATATTGATTATGTAATCTAAAAGGGTATTGTATTACACTAGTGTATATACTAGTGCTAGTATTAGCGTTTACACTTCTACTATATCAAGTACTAGCTTCCCATAATTAATAATAATCAAGACGAATAATATAATCAATCATATTGATAAGACTGAAATACTTTACACTTTAATCAACACCAAATTGATACCAACAATACTATATACGGATTCTAAGTCACTATATGACTTATTGATTAAGCTTGACATTAATATGGAAAAGTGCCTTCTAATCAATATTATGGCTGTACAATAATACTATAAGAATAAAAAAATCAAGAAGATTAAATAGATTGATGGGAAGTCGAATCCTGTAAATGCTATGATTAAAAACGGTGTATATTAAGTTTTAAAAGACTTAATTGATACTAATAAAATAATTATTAAAGTAATATATTGGGTAGAAAGAGAATAGTGAAATAGAAACTAAGGAAACAGAAGTAGAAACACTGTGTTTAAGATTGAATAATGAGTTTAGGCACATAATCATATTTAACTTAAGAATTGCCAGTATTAGGATATCAATTATATAATCTAAAGAAGGCATTGTATTGTATTAACGCTAATATTAACACTTGTATTTCTACTATATCAAGTATTAGCTTCTTATAGTTAATAATGATTAAGATGAATAATATAATCAATCATATTAATAAGATTAAAGTACTTTATACTTTAATCAACACTAAGTTGATACTAATAATTCCTATTGTTTTACATTTGGTAGCAAAATCACCCTCCACATTAAGCATTATCCGATCTTTCTACCTACAGATTCCCCCAAAGCAAGGGAATCGCAGGTGAATGAGCATTGAGTTAGAGCTATTAGAAAGTTTGTATTGTTATTGTTCATTGTAGAAGCGTTGCGGTAAACACATATATGTGTGTCTCCCCAGCCGCCAAATAGGGGTATTTCCAGGTACTTAAAAGTGCAGACAATCATCACTATCAAAAGATTCTATTCCATCAGAACGGTCTGTGGCAATCAACTTGCCGTTCATTTGGTGCTCGCACTTCCAATAAATACAACTTCTACAGCGACAAATCTATATCATATAAGTGACTTGCTTAGAGAGAGGCCATGGAGTACCTACCCAGCTGTCGCAGCAAATACTTCAATCGTCTTCGCCGATGTCCAATATGACAGGACGAACGCAAAGAATGTCGTGAAGCAAAGCATAGCGCCGATTCGTTTCAACGTGGTATCGATGAGGTATAATGCTAATATCACAATTCCCGGGAAAAGGGAAGCAAGAACCGAAGTGAGCACTTTAGCCGCCGATCGGACATTGGATTCGGAGTAATACGTTTGATTCCGTTCAATATCAACTCTTTTGGTTTTCTGCAGTCCTTTAGCCTTGTCAAGGAGATGAAAAAGTGCATGCTTACATTTCGATGACGTCCCCATATAAGATCATAAAGAGAGACTAGAGTAATAACAACCCCTCGCGAAAACCCACTTTCTCTCTGAATAAGAGTCACTTGATCTGAGGTACTAATTTTGGCATCTGAGCCTGATAACTTGCCCCATATTTCTTCCTCTGGTTTATGGAGAAACAGTGCACCCCGATCTTTATCCCTCAACCATTCGTGAAGTCTTTCAAGGTCGTATCTATCGGGCTTGTCTAGCCGGAGAACTTGAGATACTTGCAATAATGCGCTATCTAATCTCAGATTTAGATATGATCAGATTCGTACTAGGAATCTCATTTCTGACCTACTATACTTGTGAAGTGTATCATTGATTCTATCTAGAAGTTCCAGTTGTGAGCCGGGGGATGTCTGTCCGAACTCCCGCAGTTCATAAAAGCTTTGCGTGAATCCTCTTTCCTGTGGATTACTGCTGTCGTCGTCTATATCGCAGGTGGCTTCATAGCTGAGTTCGAGACCTGCGAGTTCGGCTTGTAATCTCAATAAGTTGAGCATATTTAGCTTTGAAAATCGTCGAAATATTACAACGTCGTCGACTTCGGTCATGAAGGTCGCCAATTTGCGATAGCCTCGTTCTTGAGGAGGAACCCTAGATTGCGGTGTCGACGCTCCAGTATTTTGAGATCGCATTGTATGGATACTCGCAGCTGTATTTATTGTGTTTGCTGTGCTAGCTTCATGATTGACTCTCTCCATCGAGCCTCGGTCTGATGTTTGCGGGTTTCTAAATGATGCTGAACACATTAATCCTATGATAGTGATGGTCGGTGATGATATGGTATTATAATATCCATGGCGGGTGTTTTAAGATGCGTTGAGATTGTTGCAAGTATTGTTTTGGAAGCAGAATTATCAAAGCTGTCCACGAGTATGGAGTTGAGCAGGCTGTGCATTGATGGACAGTGGACATGCATCTCTATCGATTCTGCCGCTGAAATGAGATTTGGTCTTCGGTGAGCAACGAAATTCGTAATGCTATTCGCGGATTCAACGAGGATGACAAAAACTTCCACACCAAGGACGCTTGACGCTCAGCCTCAGCTGAAAATTAAAGGCGTTAAGCTGCATTGTTCTCCCGATATGGTAAAAGTCGATTCCAACTTATTAAATTACTCCTCTTACTTTAAGATAAGAACCGTAGGCAAATCCTAACTACTGTTTGAATCTGCAATTCGAATATCTATGGTAACAATATTTGTCCAATGTCAGGTATTTCCGTATTAAGCTTCGCGTCGTCTATGCTTGGAATTATCAACCTTGCGACGACAATACAGAAAGGTTTTTTACTTAATGGGAAAAAATACCCAGACTTCGTGATCAATGATCTTCCTGTTTTAATAGCTTTTCTATGGGATATCAAAAATTCATTTCTCAACTCCAAAGAACCCCTTCCAGCCGCCGCTGAAGCTTCCATGAGCAGCTGCGAGTCTTACATGGTACGGCTAGACAAAGAACTCCACAAACTGTATGGTCCTCGCCTAGATGGGAAATTGACTGTCTTCCGACGGTTACGAATCTCATCGCGACAGAAGACTCTGGGTAACGAGTACCGTTCTTTCAGACAATCGGTACTTCTTTTGAAAGATGTTTGCTTATTGTATGAATCCTTCATCGATCTTTCTCCCAATGGTATTCTCATTCATGTGTAGCTTCAAAATTCAAGAACTCAGTAATAAACAAGTCTATGCGATTGGAGATAACGAACGATCCATGTAAGTTCTGATGTATTCCGCATGCAATGCATATACTGACGCAAATCACTCTGTAAGGAATGAAGTGTTACACCTTAAATCAATGCTATTTGAAACGCAAAGGGTTTCATATGATCAATATGGGCATGGGGATAGACCTGATAAACACCACATGCAGAAGAGTAGTCACAGATCTCAAAGCATAACGCGACATACACATCAATACCAATCTGAGAGCGGATACCAAGATGAGATTGATGATGCATCGCTGCTGCGTTTACAGCTTGACCTTCAGCTCAAATATCCAGATATGACCGTTTTTACAGCGGTAATCTGTCCAGAAGTGCAGGATGACCAGCCACTAAAGATGGTAGTCGCACGAGTGTTGCTGGACACCGGTTCCGATGTAAACATCGTATCCGAGAAATACCTTCAAGGAGTTGGTTTGAGGCATTTAATCACCGAGATTCCAGAAGACGAACAGATTGATATGGGTGGTATCGAAGAGCAAGGGCCAGATTGGAAATTTACGAGAAAATTTACATCAAGATTCTACCTGTACAACAGCACGACTACTGAGACTGCAGAATTCTTTGTGACAAAGAGTTCCGACTGGGATATCCTCATTAGTCAGAAACAGCACGTCAAACTGGCATTAGAAAGAAGCTCAGTTAGCAAGAAGCTCCTATGGATGTCTAAGAAAAAGCGAGACCCAGGTAAGATTACCCTTTCCTGATAAAGCATACGGTGCACTAACATGTCCGTAGCGAAAGAAGCTGAGCAGAGAGAATTTGAGCGGAGTCGACAGGAGCTTCTTGAAAATCAAAGCCGTTTGTATGAAGAAAGGGAAAAAATGAAGCGGTCCAGCCAGCTAGAAAGTAGACATTTGCCTGCAGCTGGTCGAGCATGGACTTTCGACGATAACAGAAGAGCTATCATGCCTGCTTCGATTTCTGAAGCAAGCGGCAGTGGACAGGGAGACTTGTCAATTCAGATGGACTCTATCGACGACCAAAGGTTAGCAAAATTGAGAGAGGCGTCGATAAAATCCGGTACTATGCAAGATGAACCTGACGATGAATCGAAAGATATCAACTAGTCTACGGACAGACCAGACGGCCATCTCGTTGAAATTTTGACCAAATATAATACAATGGTTCTCTACATTAACAATATGAGTGTTTCGATTGAGCAGCTTCTGGCCAATAGAGAGGAGGGGTTTTAAACTTAAGAAGTATTCTTGAACGATGAATGGCGATACGGGTATATCATGGACTGTACAATCTTACAGCTTTTCGCAGTTTGAAAATTTGGCCATTCATAGTTGATGCTGCGCCAGAAGAATCATTCGAGATATATTTTACTTGGCCATGAAGTATTACGGAGGTCACCCTTCAAATGCCCTATCAAAGATAACAGGCTGGCTGCAAAGAGACCGATATAAGAGTATATCTGAGCTGTGCTGGTTTGGGAAGGAGTGATCAAGCAAGGAGACGTTGGAAAATTGATGAGGGGAACGGCTGATTTGTACGCGAGTGCTTGATGTGGTGGCCGCTAAACTCGAGGACTGCAAAACACTACAGCTAAGATTGCAATGAATCCAAATCAAGAATATATTAAGAATAAGAGTATTCCACCTCTCTGGTACTTAGCTCAAGATTCAGGTCACTTGTTATGATATTACATGGCTCACTAAAGAGGTACAACAGAACATGAACGTGTTGCAATGTTTTGTATCTTTTTTTCTACATTATACATAGCTGTTTGAATAAAACCATAAACGGAAATTCCCACTCATCAAATCATATCATAACTCTCCCTTTCCCAATAAACAAAACAATTCTGAACGCCCCTATATATCTTATCGCACACCACCATTTTCATATATAAATCATTTTCTCTACTTTCGACTCCTTTTATGGCCGCCTCTTCTAATCTCCAGATTAATCAGACCTCTCAACCCATCAAATCTCATAACGCCTTAACAATACTCCTCTCATCAAACAAATCTCTCAACAACCCCTGTCTACAAGCCTCCCAATCTGTCGCCCCCATTCCATACGTACTCTCAAATGCAAAAATGCTCAATTGACTGAAGAATGGCCTCAGGACCTTCGCGACTAATTCATCTTTCCTCTCCCAAGTACCTTCATCATTGATTCCAAATCCACCTTTCGTTCTCCCCAACAAAGGCCTCCTCATAGAATATTTAACTGCCTGGGAAACTGCGACTGAAGATGATTCTAGTAATGCGGCCGTATTAGTAGTTGTTGCTAGTCCTAATTCTTCACTCAATTCGTCTACTAAAGAAACAGGTCGGAAAGAAGAGGGACGGTAAACGGCGTCAATAGTGTCGGTTATGAAGAGCCACTCGTGGAGCTGAAAATCGTCAGGTGCGATGCAAAGTAAAGTGTCTAGTAATTTGCAAGCTTGTAGGATAGAGTAATTATTATAGGTGTCAGAGGGAGTACTGTGATCAGGTGCCACAACCGATGAAATAGCCACGTGAAGCTCTGCATTGATGATAGGCCACAGTGTTGCGAGATGAATGGCCGAAGTCTTAAGCACGAGTGCACGAAGAAGCAGAAAAATATCTGCACGAGTGGTAGAAGAGGGAGACGATGTCGTAGTTGCGGAGAGAAGTTCAACAATCTTCTCTTGCATGATAGGGAGGTCAGTCACGAAGTTATCATCCATGGTAGCCAGAACCAGGGTGGCGATGCGGCGGAGATTGAGTTGTGACTTTCTATCTGCCTCAAAGCGCGCCGAAGTTGCTCCAACGCCAAACACGATACCAGCTGTAGAAGGTGCGACTAATCGCGACAATAACTCCGGCATTCGTTCCTTGTCGCTCAATGCCCACTGTCTGAGCAAAGGCAGCCAATCACTTTCAATGAGACTGACGTTATTTGCGAAGAAGCGAGAATCGTTGAATGCATCTCCAAGATCTTTTCTCCACGACTTTTGCGTGTTAGGTAACCTGGAGAGCTGATATAGTAGCTCTAGAGTGCTTTTCGAAACGTTATCTGGAAAGGATCTGGACTTGAAGGTTGGTCCGATGACACTCGATGAGATGACATTCGCTGCATTCAGTATTCGATCATTTTCAACAAGTATTTTGGGTAAATTTGGCGCGATAGAGGCTAAAATGTTAACTACTTCATCGGATCTTGATGAGGGGCGAGATGAAGATGGCCGCTGATCAATGTCTGTCAACTTTTCTACACTCTCCGAGAAGCCCATAGGTCTAGTTGTGAACATTGCAGTAAGTAATCGAAGGAAAAGATCCTGAGATATGTTAGTTTTTATTCTCTTCAATAATCAACTTGTACTCACTCCCAACTCCCTTCGCATCCGACGCTGTTCTCCGAAATTGGTATTATCGACCTTCACTCCTAGAATGGCGGCAAACTCCAGAAGACTTGGGAGAGTCTGTCGATGTGGAAATGGATTTGCCAATAGATCTTTGAGGAAAGTCATACAGTCGACCCAAATCTCATCCATGGCATCATCCTCCAGTGATCTTGCATAGTCCACTAAAAATGTCACCAAGTCTGTATCGCTTAATGAGGATGTCAAGGTCGACTTCCTTGAAGGATCCAGCGCACTTGGGTTCGTCCTGCTATATATAGCGTTGAAAATTGCAGGAATGGTATGTTTTGGTCTTGAGCCGTCAAGAACATGAAGGAGATTGAAAATAGCCGTAGGGCGAGAATCACTACCCTTGGAAGACCTTTGCCCAATTTCAACCAATGTCTCTAAGCATTCTAATGCCTCGGCTGTGAAAAGATGCTCAAGCAGTCTCCGAGCTCGATTCCGCATGCGTAATGATGTGTAATTGAAGGAGGCAGTAGATTCACTATCCTGAGCTCCATCTTGACCGCCCCATGACCAAATGAGGAAGCAGATTCGAACAGCATCTTGGAACGAGAGTAGTACAGTTAGGCGGTTGTTAGCAGTTATGCTTCTTGCTTGTGGAGTTTCCGAGTTGAAGACACCAGAAACCATATTTCCAAAGAATCCTTGTGGTTGATCAGGACTTTTAGTAATGGGCGCTTTTGTTTCATCCTTCAGTAATCGATCGTGCCCTTTGGCAAGTACGAACTCGAGGCCATTGAGCAGGGATATCAATGTGGATTCTGGAGCCGTGGATCCTTCAGAAACCGTACCTGAGTCTTTGAATGTGGTTTGGAGATTGGTAAAAGTTTCTCCAATTTGGGAGCAGAGTGTTTCGACTAATGGTATAAGGATTTGAAAAATTGTGTCAGAGTAAAACGGTAGACATTCTGTCAAAAAGCTAACCCAACTATCTAGAACTGGTCTACTCGAAGCGGCCTCGAACCCTGCCTGTAAGCACTTCACCAATGATGGTGGTGGAGGAGGTAGGAAAGGCCCTGTGTGTTCGCTCTGGTCAATTGCAAGCGAAGAAACAGATGCATCGTCATGTTGAGTTATAGAAGTCATAGTGGAGCGCTTTTTGAGAGTAGGCGATGCCGGCGGCAGGCTGACAACAGGTCGAATCTTCAGAGCAGCATAGACAACATCTAAGAGCAGAACCTGAATAAAGGGATCGGTCCCAGTCAACGAGTGGCTTAATCTCTGAATGAGAACATGTTCTAACTGAAGCTCCCCTAATGACAAAGAGTATGGACTCAATAGTATTTGGTGTAGAAGAGTTAGAGCAGTACGATGGAATTGATGGATATGTGGCTTTCGTTCCAAGTTTTCTGGTTCATATGTCCCCGAAATGGCTTGTAAGCACACATGCAGAAAGAACTCTAGGAGTGTAACTTCATCGTCTCTACCAGCTGTAGCATTGTCAGCACAGAACCAATACATGATAACTCAAACTTACTTATCTGGAATAAAGAGCGATGAGATCTGTCAGTAGAAATGCTGTTGCGAGCAAGTGCTGCCCATGTGGTATCGGAAGACCATCGCAATACGTTAGAAAGTGTTTGAAGATAGTACAAGCATTGATCGAGATCATCGTCATCTGCATAGATACGCATGTTATGATGGGCTGTGGTCCCAGCATCCTCGAATTTTGTAAAAAGGAAACTATAATTCGAGAACTTCGCTACGAAAAGATGAAACAGCCTGAGCCACAGTAAGCATTAATCCTTAAATAACATAAACGCACGTACCTGTCGATGCCAACAAGACTCTGCAGCCAAATCCGAACAGTCATAAAAAGTTGTGTTCGTTCATCAAGTAGAGCATCAAGCAACAGGAAAAGAGGTTTCGCAAGCATAACTTCATAATTTCCAATACCAGAAAGTCGAGGTGTATTCTTGATGTCAGTGTTGGAGCTACGACGATCAAGGTGACCGGCATTGTCTTGGAGTGAGTGTGTCCATAATATGCTGAAGCTCCGTCCAGGGTCAGCATCTCGAGATGCATATGTACCATTCAGATCATGTTCTATCATCAAATTGCATATCGAAGCTTCTATATCGTGGTTATCAAGTGTGAGTGTTGTTTGTAATTGCCAAAGGCTTCGAACAGTCTCAACATGATATTTTGGATGAGAAGCAGAAAGATATGACCAAGCCAATCGAACGAGAGGATCTACGAGATTGGATAGCTGTGGCAATGAGATGTAATGATTCGAGTAAAGACTGGTGCAAAGAGATACGATTGAGGTAAATGTGAGAAATGGAAGTTGAGATGGCATGCTCAATTTCCTTTGCATAGACTCTAGCAGTCCCGGAACATCAAGACTTCCAACCCTGGATACTTTTGAAAGTATCATTACGAGGAGCCTAGTTTTGAGACCAGCATCAGCACTTGACTCTGAACTTGATAGACTCTCGTTAACTATGCTACCGCCTTCGCGGACGAGCAATTCGCTAAGGTCACGAGCTGAAAATGGTGGTGGAAATGCATCTAAATTGCCTTGTTCCTGGACATAGAATGTCTTCATACTGCGTATTATCTCGGTATTCGAAAGAGATTTGATCTCGTGTTCATCATGTCTGACCATCGACTGACCGGTGGAAGGCCGCACCTGAAAAGCTCGTTCTGGAATGAGATCGATCAAATCCATAACAAGATTTAATGCTAATTGCTCAACTTCATTTTTGACGCCAACCGTCT